CCCCCCTTTCTCTCTCCCCCCCTCTCTCTCTCTCTCTCTGAATTTGCATATATTTCTCATGCTCGGTTATTATGACATCATCTTCTCTGTAGTAATTTGTATTTATATTTCATGAACTCCGACTCTCATTCACTGGCCTGGCAATAAGAACCTCCCGCTTCTTGGAGTCAAACAGTCTCATATTTCAGGCAGCGGGGGAGGGGAATGAGCATTCTGTAAATATGTAATAAATGATTGGTTTGTGTCTTCCAGGTGTTCGGCGTTCTGCTTTGGTGTGTGTGTTGGGCCGACCTGTTCTACTCCTTCCACAGACTGGTTCAGGATGAGGCTCCGCCTCCCGTGTTCTTTGTCACGCCCCTAATCCTCGGAATCACAATGGTTTGTATTGATTACTTTGAGGGGTGTAATATATAACTTATATCCGGAGAGCGGTGATGTCACTCCCGTATAATATATCCGGAGAGCGGTGATGTCACTCCCGTATAATATATCCGGAGAGCGGTGATGTCACTCCCGTATAATATATCCGGAGAGCGTTGTCACTCCTGTATGATATATCTGGAGAGCGGTGATGTCACTCCTCTATAATATATCTGGAGAGCGGTGATGTCACTCCTCTATAATATATCTGGAGGGCGGTGATGTCACTCCTCTATAATATATCTGGAGAGAGGTGATGTCACTCCTGTATGATATATCTAGGGGCTGTGATGTCACTCCTGTATGATATATCTGGGGGGCGGTGATGTCACTCCTGTATGATATATCTGGGGGGCGGTGATGTCACTCCTGTATGATGTATCTGGGGGGCGGTGATGTCACTCCTGTATGATATATCTGGGGGGCGGTGATGTCACTCCTGTATGATGTATCTGGGGGGCGGTGATGTCACTCCTGTATGATATATGTTATATCGGTATGTTTGGTATGCGGTGTCTCTGATCTCTTTGTCCTCTCAGATCGCAGCGACGATTCTCATCCATTATGAGCGGCTGAGGGGCGTCCAATCGTCCGGCGTTCTCGTCATTTTCTGGTTCTTGGCCGTACTTTGCGCCATTGTTCCTTTCCGGTCGAAGGTTATGTCGTCAGTAAATCAGGTAATTTCATCTCCAGTTGTTGGATAAAGTACCCGATTTGTATCCAATCACGGAGGAGAGAAGCCGTCACATGACACCCTCATAAACCTTGCGTCATCCCCACCACTGCATGTGAACGCACCGCACGTCACACCGTCCAGAGGAAGAGCTCAGAGGTATGGAAGTCCATCTCCTGCCCTGCTCTGTATATGTGGAGAAGCATCATCATCATCATCCTAGGAAAAGACTACAACCCCCCCTCTCCTGTTCTGGATTTTCAGAGGATTCTTTGAACAGTTATAAATAAACCTTTCCAATGATAACAGACCGGAGGGAGGAGATCGGAGACGTTCATTCTTCTTCTGCTGGATCTTTATTATAGGAAGTTGGTCAATTAACACGAACACCCAAAATTCCCACAATTCCCCGATCCGGACACAGGAAGTGACCATAATACACCCATTTATCTTCACCCCCAGATCCCAAATCACTCACCGAGGAGAGAAGAGATACAAAAGTATCAAAATGACACAATTGTCTGGCCGTCCCCTCACTGGGAGGATATGTAGACTGGTGTCCGGCCGTCCCCTCACTGGGAGGATATGTAGACTGGTGTCCGGCCGTCCCCTCACTGGGAGGATATGTAGACTGGTGTCCGGCCGTCCCCTCACTGGGAGGATATGTAGACTGGTGTATGGCCGTCCCCTCACTGGGAGGATCTGCAGACTCCATGTACGAGTGATTCCCATGTTCTGCCGTGTGCCGCCATGTTGTGGATGGCGATATGACTCCTCTTCCTCTCTCTCATCTCCAGGGCGTGTCGGACCGGTTCCGCTTCACCACCTTCTTCATCTACTTCTCCCTGCTGGTGCTGGAACTCATCCTCTCCTGCCTGAAGGAGGCCCGCCCCTTCTTCTCCCCGGTCTCCTCCGACTGCGTGAGTACTCCGCCCCGATACCGTGAGCCATGAGAACCCAACTGAGGACCTGGTCCTAACCATTGTTCCCTCCGCAGAATCCCTGCCCGGAGTCCGACGCCGGCTTCCTCTCCAGACTCACATTTTGGTGGTTTACAAAGTAAGTGGAACGCGAATATAATAATATAACTAAAGAGGAACTCCGGACCAAGAAGCGCCGCGTGCCGGTTCCCCTCCTTCTTCCCCAAAATGAGTGTTAAAGAGGACCTGTCACTAACTTCACAAGTCTCCATGAGCCAATCCCTGGACTGTCACAATGTACAGCAACAGGGTCATTGTTCAGATTTGTACTGATAAGCCTCTTATCAGTACAAAGCCGGCCCTATTTCGGTTTCTATCAATGAATGTTCTGTGTGATGTGACTCGTTATAATGGGGACTCTCTCGTTCTCAGGTTGGCGATTTTGGGCTATAAGAGGCCCCTGGAAGAGAAGGACCTTTGGTCGCTGAATGAAGATGACAAATCCATAGAAGTCGTGTCCAAACTGATCAAAGAGTGGGAGAAGGAGAAAGCCAGCTTGAGGTACTTTCTGGAGGCTGATGGCCAACAGTCATCCAAAGACAAACCATACGTCAGCCCAACAAACCCTCAGGCCAAGCGTTGCAGCGTGTAGGCCCCGCACTCTTTATTGAGTGTTGGGTGGTGCGGTGTCTTGGTAGGCATCATTGTGGCCTTGTAGTTCCAGGTTTGTAGGACAATCCCACTTAGGACACCATGTGATTGGAGTTCGTGTGTTCTCTCTCTCTCTATGGTTGTCGTGGTTTCCTCCAGTTTCCTTCCACAACCCAAAAACCTGCTGAGACGTGACCCTGTGGTAGTAAATTGGCCATGGTGTCACCTTGTAGAGACCTGCATGATCGGTGTCCTCCATGAAGACCTGTATACTATGATGACATACTATCTACATACATGAAGTAAAATGATCATTCATTGTCCGGGGCCATATAGCCCGGTGCTGATTCCATGGCCCTCACCCATGTCCCTGGGACTCTTCTTATGGAGCAGAGTATAGTGCTCACAGTGGCCGTCACGTTGACCCCTATCTCCTTTGACTTTCCAGGAGCAGTGAAGTCCAATTCACGAAAGCCCAAGAAGTGGAAATGAACCATCTGGGTGAGAAGCCGACCGAATCCGATGTCCTGATCGTCAACAACAAGAAGAAGAGGGAGCCGTCCTTCCTGAAGGTTCTCATCAAGGCCTTCGGACCGTTCTTTCTGATCGGATCCGTGTTCAAGCTTTTCCAGGACCTCCTGTCCTTCGTCAATCCCCAGTTATTAAGGTGAGCTTCCTCCGGACTCGGCCCTCCGGCGACCCGAAGCAGATTTCATGGATTGTCATACACACCGAACTGACAGCATTATGGGGGAAACGCAGCCGTGGTGCCCAGAACCTGGATACAGATAGTATAAGTACCTGGATCTGGCTTTATAATGGTTTCCTGCAATCCCTTGTGCAGTGGACTGGGAGGAGGTGGGGCAGCTCTGTGAGCCATTCAGACTTCTATAGCATTTTACAGGGCTGTCAGTCTAACAACGGGAGATTACTGACAGGAAGAAAGAGCAGAATAAGTGATGACCTAAGTCAGGGGAGTAACTAGAAATCACAGGGCCCCGTAGCAAAATTTTGTATGGGGCCCTGTGATTTCTAGTTATGCCCCTTGCAGAGCCCACCTGAGAGTGACCCTGCAGAGCCCGCCATATACTCTCTTTGGTGGGTTCTACAGGGTCTCAGGTGGGCTGCACACCTCTTACCTGTCAGCGCTGTCCGCCTCCGTGGTCGCCGGGCCCCGCCTCCTCTTCCGTCCCCGGGCCCCGCCTCCTCTTCCGTCCCCTGGCCCCGCCTCCTCTTCCATCGCCGGGGCCCTGTCTTCTCTTCTATCGATGGGCCCCGCCTCCTCTCACATCACTGGCCCCTCCTGCTCTTAGGTCGCCGGGCCCCGCCTCCTCCTTCACTGCGAACGCCGGGTCCGGCCTCTTCTGCAGCAGCTTCACAGCCGCCAGTGACAGCCAGCACCCCTGTGCCCGGGCCCCATAGCGCCCGCCTGGGTCGCTATGGCGATTGTTACGCCGTGCACAGCTGCTCCAGGTTTTGTCTGCTCCAGTGTTTATAAATTCCCCCCCAGTGGCGTAACAATCGCCATAGCGACCCAGGCGGGCGCTATGGGGCCCGGGCACAGGGGGGCCCGGCCAGGGCATCCCTCTGATGCCGTGTGGGTCGCTATGGCATATCAGGGTTCTGGCTGTCACTGACCAGAGGAGGACCAGAGCCAGTGATGTAAGAGGAGGCGGGGACGGAGAGGGAGGCGGGGACCCTGCGACCACGGACGGAGGCGGACAGCCCTGACAGGTAAGAGGTGTCCAGCCCATCTGAGACCCTGCAGAGCCCAATATAGAGAGTCTATGGCGGGCTCTGCAGGGTCACTCTCAGGTGGGCTCTGCAAGGGGCATTATCCTTCCTCCATTGTGACCGCTCACATTGTTATTTCCTTTATGAATTGGATACATTGTGACACGTGTGCCGATCTCTCTCTTTTTTTTCTCTTCAGCGTTCTGATCAATTTCGTCAAAGACGGCAGTGCGCCGGCCTGGTGGGGATTCAGCATTGCCGCGCTGATGTTTCTTTCTTCCGTCGCCCAAACGCTCATCCTCCACCAGCACTTCCAGTATTGCTTCGTCACCGGGATGCGGCTGAGAAGCGCCATCACTTAGTTCCAGCTCCCTGTCTCCCCCTTCGTGTCCGCAGCAGCTCTATTCGGCACTGGGCTGCAGTTCTGTGTGATGAGGGGGGCGGGGATTACACCGCTCACACTCATTGGCTGCTGCGCCGGCGGGATGATACTTCACGCTGCGCCCAGAACAAGGTGAGGGGAGCAGCGTGAAGCACGTAGGGCCCAGGACAGGAGGAAGAGGTCCCGGGACTGACATTAGCAGTTACCGGGATATTAAATATCCTGGTAATCAGCGGTCACCAGGGGCCCCTTCCTCCTGTCCAGGGGCCCCTTCCTCCTGTCCAGGGCACGGTCGCGACCTCTGCGACCCCGGTAGTTCCGCCACTGACCAGCACACCAAATGGTGATTTAGCAATAGTCCATTTATTGGCACATTGCCATTTGGTGTGCTGGTGACTTTATTTCTTCATTTGAGTTTCTCACGGTGCCACCCGTGGTCACTACAAGCACCCACCCGTCTGCACGGGTCCCTAGATGTTCCGGTAAGGAGTGCAGCAAGACCTATGGTTCCTGATTTGTGTCTCCCTCCCCCAACTGGTGATAGAGCAATGTGCAATGTTATTCCGATCACTGCCGGGCCCTCCTGGTGCATTATGGGATCAGCAGGCAGACTTCACGGTCTATAGATATTCACTGGAAATTGTCCAAACTCTCTTTTCTGTGCTGTGTGTTATTCCATTGTATCCAGGCAATGCCCATTATCATGTCCTGCCCATAACCAAGGGACACGAGGCTCTTAGATGTCACCCACATAAAGAGGACCTGTCTCGTCCTCCTCTTTCCTCGCACTGGCAGTGAAGGTTTCAGCAGATAAAGGTTACGGTCGCTCTCACCGCTCATTGCTCTGTCACAGACTGTGCTGTAGAACTTCTGTGGTCAGACGTGTTCCGTGGGGGGGAGGGGAGGGGGGGGTTTGCACCGAGCCATGAAATGTGTCATTTAGGAATAATCAGTAATGGCGCCACTAGTAAAGAAGAATGTCCGCTGAGAGTCTCTGTCCTTCTGTCCGCTGAGAGTCTCTGTCCTTCTGTCCGCTGAGAGTCTCTGTCCTTCTGTCCGCTGAGAGTCTCTGTCCTTCTGTCCGCAGTCTCTGGTCATCACGAATGCAGCGAAGCGTTCATCTACGGTCGGCGAGGTGGTCAATCTGATGTCAGTGGACGCCCAGCGATTCCAGGACCTGACTGTCCCTAGATGTTCCGGTAAGGAGTGCAGCAAGACCTATGGTTCCTGATTTGTGTCTCCCTCCCCCAACTGGTGATAGAGCAATGTGCAATGTTATTCCGATCACTGCCGGGCCCTCCTGGTGCATTATGGGATCAGCAGGCAGACTTCACGGTCTATAGATATTCACTGGAAATTGTCCAAACTCTCTTTTCTGTGCTGTGTGTTATTCCATTGTATCCAGGCAATGCCCATTATCATGTCCTGCCCATAACCAAGGGACACGAGGCTCTTAGATGTCACCCACATAAAGAGGACCTGTCTCGTCCTCCTCTTTCCTCGCACTGGCAGTGAAGGTTTCAGCAGATAAAGGTTACGGTCGCTCTCACCGCTCATTGCTCTGTCACAGACTGTGCTGTAGAACTTCTGTGGTCAGACGTGTTCCGTGGGGGGGAGGGGAGGGGGGGGTTTGCACCGAGCCATGAAATGTGTCATTTAGGAATAATCAGTAATGGCGCCACTAGTAAAGAAGAATGTCCGCTGAGAGTCTCTGTCCTTCTGTCCGCTGAGAGTCTCTGTCCTTCTGTCCGCTGAGAGTCTCTGTCCTTCTGTCCGCTGAGAGTCTCTGTCCTTCTGTCCGCTGAGAGTCTCTGTCCTTCTGTCCGCAGTCTCTGGTCATCACGAATGCAGCGAAGCGTTCATCTACGGTCGGCGAGGTGGTCAATCTGATGTCAGTGGACGCCCAGCGATTCCAGGACCTGACCACCTTCCTGAACATGTTGTGGTCGGCCCCTCTGCAGATCTGTCTGGCTCTTTATTTCCTCTGGCAGGTAATTATCGGGGGGGGGGCCTCTGATAGCCATGTGCGCAGTGATTGGCTGAGCCCATCCAAAATCAAGGTGGACTTCCGGTCTTCACATGTCTGATGATCTGATTGGCCGGTTCCTGGCCTAAACATCTGCCAGCGAGAGCGAAGACTGTGTATGCAAAATAAAAGCAGATGTTGCTTCTACAACATAGAAGACTAGATAGTAGGGGATGTAGTACTCAGACTGTAGTAGAGTAGGGGATGTAGTACTCGGATTGTAGCAGAGTAGGGGATGTAGTACTCGGACTATAGTAGAGTAGGGGATGTAGTACTCAGACTATAGCAGAGTAGGGGATGTAGTACACAGACTATAGCAGAGTAGGGGATGTAGTACTCAGACTGTAGCAGAGTAGGGGATGTAGTACTCAGACTATAGCAGAGTAGGGGATGTAGTACTCAGACTATAGTAGAGTAGGGGATGTAGTACTCAGACTATAGCAGAGTAGGGGATGTAGTACTCAGACTATAGCAGAGTAGGGGATGTAGTACTCAGACTATAGCAGAGTAGGGGATGTAGTACTCAGACTGTAGTAGAGTAGGGGATGTAGTGCATAGACTGTAGTAGAGTAGGGGATGTAGTACTCAGACTGTAGTAGAGTAGGGGATGTAGTACTCAGACTATAGCAGAGTAGGGGATGTAGTACTCAGACTATAGTAGAGTAGGGGATGTAGTACTCAGACTATAGTAGAGTAGGGGATGTAGTACTCAGACTATAGCAGAGTAGGGGATGTAGTACTCAGACTATAGCAGAGTAGGGGATGTAGTACTCAGACTATAGCAGAGTAGGGGATGTAGTACACAGACTATAGCAGAGTAGGGGATGTACACAGACTATAGCAGAGTAGGGATGTAGTACTCAGACTGTAGTAGAGTAGGGGATGTAGTACATGGACTATAGCAGAGTAGGGGATGTAGTACACAGACTATAGCAGAGTAGGGGATGTAGTACACAGACTGTAGTAGAGTAGGGGATGTAGTACTCGGACTGTAGCAGAGTAGGGGATGTAGTACTCAGACTATAGTAGAGTAGAGGATGTAGTACTCAGACTGTAGTAGAGTAGGGGATGTAGTACTCGGATTGTAGCAGAGTAGGGGATGTAGTACTCGGACTATAGTAGAGTAGGGGATGTAGTACTCCGACTATAGTAGAGTAGGGGATGCAGTACTCAGACTATAGCAGGGGAGGGGATGTAGTACTCAGACTATAGCAGAGTAGGGGATGCAGTACTCAGACTATAGCAGAGTAGGGGATGCAGTACTCAGACTATAGCAGAGTAGGGGATGTAGTGCATACACTGTAGTAGAGTAGGGGATGTAGTACTCAGACTATAGCAGAGTAGGGGATGTAGTACACAGACTATAGCAGAGTAGGGGATGTAGTGCATAGACTGTAGTAGAGTAGGGGATGTAGTACTCAGACTAGAGTAGAGTAGGGGATGTAGTACTCAGACTGTAGCAGAGTAGGGGATGTAGTACTCAGACTATAGCAGAGTAAAGGATGTAGTGCATACACTGTAGTAGTGTAGGGGATGTAGTACTCCGACTATAGTAGAGTAGGGGATGTAGTACTCAGACTATAGCAGAGTAGGGGATGTAGTACTCAGACTAGAGTAGAGTAGGGGATGTAGTACTCAGACTAGAGTAGAGTAGGGGATGTAGTACTCAGACTAGAGTAGAGTAGGGGATGTAGTACTCAGACTAGAGTAGAGTAGGGGATGTAGTACTCAGACTAGAGTAGAGTAGGGGATGTAGTACTCAGACTAGAGTAGAGTAGGGGATGTAGTACTCAGACTAGAGTAGAGTAGGGGATGTAGTACTCAGACTAGAGTAGAGTAGGGGATGTAGTACTCAGACTAGAGTAGAGTAGGGGATGTAGTACTCAGACTAGAGTAGAGTAGGGGATGTAGTACTCAGACTAGAGTAGAGTAGGGGATGTAGTACTCAGACTAGAGTAGAGTAGGGGATGTAGTACTCAGACTAGAGTAGAGTAGGGGATGTAGTACTCAGACTAGAGTAGAGTAGGGGATGTAGTACTCAGACTAGAGTAGAGTAGGGGATGTAGTACTCAGACTAGAGTAGAGTAGGGGATGTAGTACTCAGACTAGAGTAGAGTAGGGGATGTAGTACTCAGACTAGAGTAGAGTAGGGGATGTAGTACTCAGACTAGAGTAGAGTAGGGGATGTAGTACTCAGACTAGAGTAGAGTAGGGGATGTAGTACTCAGACTAGAGTAGAGTAGGGGATGTAGTACTCAGACTAGAGTAGAGTAGGGGATGTAGTACTCAGACTAGAGTAGAGTAGGGGATGTAGTACTCAGACTAGAGTAGAGTAGGGGATGTAGTACTCAGACTAGAGTAGAGTAGGGGATGTAGTACTCAGACTAGAGTAGAGTAGGGGATGTAGTACTCAGACTAGAGTAGAGTAGGGGATGTAGTACACAGACTATAGCAGAGTAGGGGATGTAGTACACGGACACTGTGAATGTTGCCCTTCGAGGAATGTGCACGGCTCGGTACTACAGAGGAATATTCTAGTAAATACTCTATTCTCTTCCTTGCAGACACTGGGGCCTTCTGTGCTAGCAGGAGTGGCTGTCATGGTTCTGCTCATTCCCATCAATGCTTTTATCGCCATGAGGACCCGTGCCTTCCAGGTGAGCCTTGCAATCTATGTTTTGAGGCAGAGTTCCCTTTTAGTGGGTAAACTTCTTCAATATACATATCAAAAGGTTTCTCTTATTACTGATATGTTTCGCCTCAGTCATGTGACAGGAGTAATGCTGCCCCAGTCATGTGACAGGAGTAATGCTGCCCCAGACATGTGACAGGAGTAATGCTGCCCCAGACATGTGACAGGAGTAATGCTGCCCCAGTCATGTGACAGGAGTAATGCTGCCCCAGTCATGTGACAGGAGTAATGCTGCCCCAGTCATGTGACAGGAGTAATGCTGCCCCAGTCATGTGACAGGAGTAATGTTGGAGTCCTTGTACGCTGTGTCATTATAGGTATATTGGGGAATGTGATCTGAACCACAGGAAGTAAATACAAAATATCACTTTATGTATCAATATAATCTCCTAGAGAAGGAAATAACAAACTCCCTTAGGCTGGGTTCACACCTAGGCGTATCGAACATGCGCCTTTGTCGCGCGTTTCGTGCCGCGCATTTTTACCGAGATTCGTGGTTAAAAAAAAACGCGCGTTTCCGAGGGCTACCTGGCTGTATCCCAATGGATACGCGCGGCAAATACGCCCCAAAGAAGCTCCTGTACTTCTCTGGGCGTAGGGCGTTCCTATGCGTGTGAACCGGACCTAGAAGAATCTCCCAGGACACAGAAATCTCTAAGAATTGTTCAAACTCCGGAAGTTCTATAGATAGAAAATCTCTGCGTCCCGGATGTGCTTCCCGACGCGCATGAAATATATACGCAACTGGGAGAAAGATGCGCGCGTCCCGGGGGGGGTCGTATATTAGTAACATTGTATATGTACATCCGATCGTCCTGCAGATAGATCTCATAGACTCGAGTCCGATGGGTCAGCTTGGTTGATGCTTTCCGCTTTTCTGTGCCGTGTGTTCAGGTGGAGCAGATGCAGTACAAGGACTCCAGAATTAAACTGATGAACGAGATCCTCAACGGCATAAAAGTCCTCAAACTCTACGCCTGGGAGCCGTCGTTTGCCCAGAAAGTCCTGGAGATCCGCAGCAAAGAGCTGAACGTCCTGAGGAAGTCGGCCTATCTCAACGCTCTGTCCACCTTCGCCTGGACCAGCGCCCCCTTCCTGGTGAGGAGAGGTTACTGCGCTCCGGTGCCATTTACACGGTGCAGTATTGGGGTGTATGAAGCGTTATGATCGGGTGTGTGACAATGTCACCTGATTCACCGAAGAGGAACGTGGCTGACGGGCTGATATTCTGATCAGGGAAGTGTTGATCGCATTTGCATAACTGGAGCTAGGAGGGGAAAAAACAGCATTGTATGTGTCAGACAATAGATGGTTCTCGGTTTGCTGACTTCCTTCAAGGCTCCTCGGGGGCGGGGTTATATGCTTGCATATTATGGGGGATTTCTCTGCTTGCTATAAAATCACATATTTTCCAATGCATTGCAGGTGGCGCTGACCACGTTTGCGGTGTACGTCAGTGTCGACGAGAAGAACATTCTGGATGCAGAGAAAGCGTTCGTGTCCCTCTCTCTGTTCAACATATTGAGATTCCCTCTGAATATGCTGCCCCAAGTCATCAGCAACCTGGCACAGGTGAGTAAAGCCTATATCTCCTATATGAGGAGGCAGCTGTGTGGGGATGAATTGTTTGAACTCTTTCTTAAACAATTCATCCCCACACAGCTCCCTCCTCATGTATCACTGGCCCCTCCCCTTTTAGATTGTAAGCCCTCAGGGGCGGGGCCCTCCTTACCATCTCGTCTTGAATTGTATTGTGATTGTAATGTCTTCCTTATATTGTAAAGCGCTACGCACACTGTTGGCGCTCTATAAATCCTGTGTAATAATGTGCCCCTTCCTCCACATGGGGAATACTCTGATATCATGTTCTTTGCCTCTCTAGCACGAGCAGGAAACAAAATGTACTTTGGACTTTTATGAATGAATAATATTTGGCATTTGTAACATGACGACCACAATGGAGGACAGTTATCAGTTCTGTCACACGGCTGCACTGAGACTCATTGTGAGACTTGTCACAAAGTCACAGCCCCAGTCATTGATCGCCCCCCTCCCCCGACCACTTCCTAATCATGTGACTGCTTAGAGTGAAAACCCAGGGGTGTGGAATTCCTATCGCCCGACGCCCGGGACATGTAGTTTTAAAGTACATTTAGCCCGGCTCCGGACAAGCAGAGCTGAATGTACATTGTGGAGCCGCCGCCGCTCGTTTAATACAAGTGGTCTAATCAGACCACTTGTATTAATTTGAGCAGCGGCGATCGTTTCTGCCCGCACCCCCCGCCGTAGTTTTCGTGGTCGCCCGCTCTCCCGGGGGACCCCAGAAACTAAGGCACAACGGCTCAGCCATAGAGCCCATAGAGCAGATGAAAAACGTCTGCTCTACGGGCTCTCTGTGTGTTCTCTGAGACCGCGGCGCTGTAATCACAATGTAATCACAGCGCCACCTGCCTCGGCTGTCAGGAACTACACAGAACAGCTGTTCTGTGTTGGAGGGCAGGTTCCATAAAGAGAACCCGTCACCTCCAAACTATCACATGAGGGATTTTAATCTCCTATGTAATAGGAAGAACATTAAGGGGAAAAAGTAAATAAATAAAAAGTTAAAGAACATTTAAAAAGTTAAAAAAATTAAATTATATAAAGATTTAAAAAATGAAAAAGTTGAAAAAATTAAAATTAAAAAATAAATAAAAATGAAACCCTGCTGCCCCCGCCATCTGCATGCAAATAAACGCATGCGTAGGACATTCTGCATGTGCTTTGAGATTGCAGCTGCCATTCCATGGTGGTAGCCAGAATTCTCTTACACACACATAATGTGCATTAAAGGGTAAGTTCATTTTCCCAGGTAATATGGAAAAATAAAAATTACCCGATGAAATCTGGCCCTGTCTCTCCCAAACCGCCACCCCCCTGGCTATACTTACCTTTCGGCGAACAATCCCTCCCCTCCGCCAGTATGGGTGTGCTATCTGTCCCCCGTACTGCTGTCCAGCGCAGTCCTCCCCTATGCATTTTGAATTTCGCTCGCAAATTGCAAGCACTCATTGGTCAATGTGGTCAGATGACTGCGCTGACCAGTGAGAAGCGCTATTTAGCAACAGTAAAATATGTTTTGATTAGGGGTGCACCGATACTAGTATCAGTGCCGATACCGAGTATTTGGGCAAGTACTCGTACCCAAATGCTCCGATCCCTTACCCCCCGATATTGGAACTTACGGCCAGATGAAAATTTCCTCTGGCAGTGCCGTAGGGGAACATGGAGCCAGCTTCCCGTGCAACCAGGAAGTCGTGTGGCAAGTAATGACCTGCCTCCTGGCTCCTTGACCGGGAAGCAGGTTTCCTGGCCAAGCAAGCCGGCCAAACAACATGGAGCAGGCTTCCGTGGCAATCAGGAACCTGGGCGGGATGTCATTACCTGCTGCCCGGTTTCCTGATTACCCGGGAAGCCTGCTCTATGTCAGCGGAAGCACCGGTATTTAGTATTCAGTGTCGGCGAGATCCGAAAGCAAAAAAATCCGTACTCGATACTGAAAAACCGGCATTGGTGCATCCCTAGTTTTGATTAAAACAATTTTTTTGTGTTGGGACAAGTAGATTTGGCCCCCACTTTAGCCCTTGGACAAGTAGTTTTTTTTTTCAATTTCCACACCCCTGAAATCCGTCACCTCTTCATCCTAACAAATCCGCTTTAAAACTTTTCAAATTGTCTCATTTGGCCGCCAGAAAAAAACCAGAGGCACCGGACTGAGAATCCCGTCGCAGAGACTTTTCTGAAGGAGAGGCGTTCTGATTGATAACCGATCATGTTGCTAGTTTGCTCGATAAATGTCCCCCAATGTGCTTGTAGCCAAATCATTATTGTTATCCGAGTGTCACTCGAGTCTGTGTATTGTAACCCGTCAGGTATGTGTTCTCTCACCTCCCGAGCTACTGAGCCGACCTGTGACAGTCTCATTGTCACAGGTCGGCTAGAACTATGAGGTGAGTGGAAAGCCCCGCCCCCTCATAGTTCTCCTTTAAGAGGTACAAAATAACAAAATGTAGGAAGAGAAAGAGCAGGAAAAGATAAAGGTTGAAGAGAACAATAAAAGGATAATAGAAGGATATAAGTTGGGGATCAGGAAGTATTACATGAGGAGATCGAAGATAACAATGAAGATACAAAGTGTCCCGAGAGATTCCAATCATAATAAGAACCAGACGATGGAGAATTCCTAAATAATAAGTGTTTATAAATAACAATCACAGTAAGACGACATGTTATAAGAATAAAGGTTTCATTTGAAGGATAATAAAAGTGAACTCTTCTAGACATACAAAGGAGTTCAGTGTCCGGATCCATTCTGTAGATTCTGCCGCTCCAGTTTTCCGTCAGTCGCCATGTGGTTGTTAGTTAAAATGAATGGACGATCTTATGCCAATGCATCGCAATAGAGCGCCCCATTGTGTCCTAAAACTGGACGCTGGATGATGATTGGATGTGCAGAGCTCCCATCACCACACAGTTCTTTCCCCATCCCATTAATGCATGAGCACGCATGCTGACCTCACCTGAGCGCATGGAGGAATGTTCT